AATTAAGGGATTTGCACAGGCTAATTAAAAATCTGTAAAAGGAAGCACGGACATTTAAGAAATTCTGGTTGTGGAAGCTACCAGAAATATGGTACTATGTGACATTTTCAGTTGATATTTGTGACATTTAAGTAAGACTCAGAGTTACTTTGGAGTTTTTTGGCTTTTTAAGTAATATTCATACAGCTAGACATTTTGAGAAAAAGCATCTCTACTATTTAAAAGCAGTCTTCCCTGCTAAGTGAGAATCTGCACACAGCAAATAAATATCCTTCACATTCTCTACTTTTAAGGTTATTTAAATTGTAGATCATTGGGAAAAGCAGTTAATGTGCTTAAGACTCTCTTATTTTTTCATGACCATCATCATAATTTAGGAAAACACAAGGTATATCTCAGACCATTGTTCTAATAAACCTGAAATTAAAGAGAAGTGCTGCGAAGCAGGTCTGCCTTTTTAAAACACACAATATTAGGGCTTTTCAGTTCAACTGCTTGTTTCACAAGAGACAAACAACAAAGTACTCTCTTGTTTAGCTGATTTAATGTGTTGCAGGGGTTTTGTGTTAGAGGGTTTTGGGTTTTTTTTTCAAACTAACTACATTGATGTAATGAGAGGAGATTGAGGGAGAGCACAAGCTGAAATTCTTGCAAACACAACACAAAAAGAGTTAATCTAAGCATCATCCTGATGCTTGGAAAGGCTGGACTATGATAATACACAGGAGACAATTACCAAGGCTCAGCTGATAAGATGCAACTCACTAAGGTGCAATAATGCAATTTCTTTCAAATATGTGCACTGAACAGGAGTGTCAGTATTAGGTCACTGAGGTTACAGAAACCCTGCCTTTCTCTGGGATGCAATAGTATCTTTTTTCTTTATGTTTATTCTTTGTCGTGCAGTCTTCATCTTTATCAGGCTTATTCTAAAAGTACTTCCCAGATCATAAGACCAATTCTTTTTAATTCAATGACAAAACTCCCTCCAATATCAAGAGTGAAACAACTGAAGCCCAGATAAAAGCAATTGGCCATTCATCCGTAACGGGACTACATCTGGGGTGAAACAGCAGCTATTTTGCAGTTAACACTTCTATTGCAAACTGATCTATGGATGGAAATTCTCAACTCAAAACACAGGGGAATTTACATAGATGGAAAATAATCACACTGACTAAAATCTGGCAAACTCCCCAGAGGTAACTCCTTTATTCAGATGAAAAATGCACAAGATTGTTTACAATTGTTCAGGATCTCAATTACATATGCTATCTAAAAGACATGTCCAACAGCTGACAGAACTCTAGTCTCATGCTACTGAATAAATAATCCTCCTATATGGGTTTTTTTCACTATTTGAGTGAGTAGGGAACTATAAATGCAAGGGCTGTGTGGTCGTACCTTTGCGATTTGGTTCAGTTTGTAGCACTGCTGCCCAGGCTGTAAACTGTGGTAAGATCACACACAACTGCAGCACAGGTTTAGTTATGTCTGCATTTCAAGACTTAAAGACGAATCTGTAAATGAGAACAGAGGACTTGGAAATTACAGACAATCCCTGTTCGCATTGTTTCGAGCTGCTATGTATTTGAGATCAATATTTTAACTTGGGCTCCTTATTTGTCTGTAAGACATCAATACAAAGGTATACCTTCTATTTCTGTAAATGTTGTTTGCCTGTGTCAAAACAACATGCAACTTCTGTAAATTCTGTACCACTACTTCAGCCACATCTGTAGTATTTTGCTGTCAAATGCCCAACGGATCCACTGGCTGATTGGCAGATCCCAGAGTGTTGTGATCAGTGGCACAGGGTCTAGTTGGAGGCCTGTCACTAGTGGTGTTCCCCAAGGTTCAGTAGTGGGCCCAGTGTTGTTTAATTTACTCCTCCATGACTTGGATGGAAGGGCAGAGGCCTCCTCAGCAAGTTCACTGATGACCCAAAGCTGGAGGAGTAGCTGATAGCCCAAAGGGCTCTTCAGCCCTTCAGAAGGACCCCAACAGGCTGGAGAGAGGGGCACAGAGGGACTTTCTAAAATTTGTCAAAGGGAAACATGCACAGTCCCGCACGTGGGAAGGAATAACCCCATGTGCCACTACAGGCTGAGGGCTGATCTGATGGAAACCAGCTCTGCAGAGAAGGAGACCTGGTGTTTCTGCTGGAGTACAAGCTGTCCACGAGCCAGCAGCGCCCTTGTGGCCAAGAAGGCCAATGGTATCCTGGGGTGCATTAGGAACAGCATTGTCAGGAGGCCGGGGGAGGTGATCCTACCTCTCTACTCTGCCCTTGCAAGGTCACATGAGGAGTGCTGTGCCCAATTCTGGGCTTCTTAGTACAAGAGAGACGTGGGGCTCCTGGTGCAGGTCCAGTGCAGGGCAAGAAGCATGACTGAGAGACTGGAAAGGAAAGGCTGAGGGAGGCCTGTTCAGCCTTGAGAAGGGAAGACTGAGAGGTGTCCTCTTCAATGTCTGTAGGTATCTAAAAGGAGATATCAGAGGTTGGAGCCAGGCTTTTCTTGGTGGTGCCAAGCAATAGGACAAGACACTGGGCAGAAACTGATGCACAGGAAGCTCCATCTGAACAAGAGGAAGAACTTTACTGTGTGAGTGACCAAGCACTGGAATGGATTGCCCAGAGAGATTGTGGAGTCTCCTTCACTGGACATATTCAGGAACCACCTGGATGTAATCCTGTGCCATGAGCTCTAGGATGACTGCTTGAGCAGGGAGGTTGGACCAGATGACCAACCCACTGTGGTCTCCTCCCAACCTTACCCATTCTGTAGTGCTGTAATTCCTTTTTGGATTACTGAAGAAGAAAATTTTCTTTACCTAAAAAGTTGAAACCATCATCAATGCCTGCTTTTAATCTCAGTGTGGTGGGGAAAGCAGGAAGCCCATTGTTGTCACATTAGAACTGCAGTAATGAGATGCTCAGTTAATCAAATCAAACAGAATTTCAGTCAGTGCTGATAACTCAGGAACTGTCTTTATACAGTCTAAAGTTAAAGATGCTTCTTTTAAAACTCTGGGCAACAATTTCAAAACCTGTTGTATTCCAAAGTTTCTTCAAATGACTTTAGATTCTACCCAAAGTAACAACTGAAGCAGACAAACCAGGAATATTTCATTCACAGCTTGTGTTTCACTGAGCAGAAGCTACTGTTCTACACAGGACAGTATTTAAGATAAATACCTCTCTCCCAAGAGTGCTAAGTTATTATTTTCTGTCCCATACTTCATTAAATTTTATTTTTGTTGGATGAATGCACTTAGTAGCAGTCAATTGCCATGTGTGATGGAGTAAAACTTACCTGGAAGACCTGTACTTTATTTATGAAATATCAGCTTTCTAGGATTTTCTATATGCATTTGAGAGCAGCATAAACAGTGACATATTTATATATTACATTATTTACAGAGCAATTCAGGTAGTTATTTCCATAGTACAAGAACTTCTCTCATTTTCACATAGCTGAAATATGATAGAACTTTTCTAAATGTTAGAAAATTATTTCAATTCCACAATGGGTCAGCCATTCTTTAATAATTTGCTATTAACTGCTACTAACTTTTTAGAAATAGCTTTTTTGCTGGCTCATATTTTATAACCTTTTCATGTTTCAATCAAATAATCTATGATGCAATATATTAAACATAACAGCACTGACAGTTTGGTATCTGAAATCACAGATAACTAATCAACCAATACTCCTTTATTAATGGGAAATTAAAAATGTGTTGCATTTTGTTTCTGAATCACATGCTAGTACTGTACATGTGTAAACTCCAGCAGAAGTCATAAGAATACTCTTATAAAAATAACCTTCCTATCAAATAATTGGCAGTTTTTAAAAGAACTTTTATATAAATCTTTCATATTACATTATCCTGTGACTTAAATAAATTGCAAACAAACATGAAATGTTGTAATCAGCTGATTATCTGAAGTAAAGAGAAGTATTTCTGTCTATTCTCTGAAATAGTTATGTTGTCACTGAAGACATTCCATTTTCAAACGCAAAAATTTGAACAGATAATTCTGATTTCATGAAACACTGAGAACTTATCAGTTGAGTATATTTTGCATAAAAACCCCATATCCCTAAGATTCTCCCTATTCACCCAATGTTTTCATTAATGTGACATGCAGATGTCTAAAAGTTAAATGGGCCATTATTAGCACCCTGGAATATGCAAGCAATATCTGAATTAATTGTTTCATCATATTGAGTTGCCTGTGGCACCAAGAAAAAGAAAAGCTAAATGTCAATATTTCACACCGTCAACTGAAATGAGTCCCAGATGTTAAAACACCAAGCAATCTAAAAATCATTCATTTCATCCTGACCAAAAACTTTTCCAAAGCAAGCTTAATCCCCTCCCCAGCACAAATAAACATGGAAATAACCCTTATTTAATATGTGCAGTGACTGAACTAGGCAAATAGCAGGACCAATGTAAAGATTTTCATGTCTTCTGCCATTAAAACTCACTGGTTTTGATTAAGATTTTAACGGTTTTAAAGACAATACCAAAAATCCAATACCAATTTTACTTGTTTACTCACAAGTAAAAATGTCAGGCTTTGTTTTTCTCTAAGAAAACAAGTACTGTTTGTCATTGTGCACAATTCTAAAGTCGAAGAAAGCTTCAGTTGTTATCATTTTGTCTAAATCAATGAAGAACAGTTTTAGGAATTTAAGCTAATACAGCCTGCCTACTCTCAAAAACTTACTGCCAAATCCAAGTGGGACTTTTTTTCAGAAATTTGAGGAAACTTAATTTAAGAATGAATAAATTCATAATATAAACATCTGCCATTGTTTTCAGTACAACACTAATTACAACAGTTGCTTATCTTTTGGATGAACAAGTTCTAGAGAATATAGAAAGGCTTAGCCCCAGGAAGTGTCAAGAAATATCAGAGGACAGATTAACTGCTAAGGGACATTCACATGAGTGCTACAGATTCAAAAAGGGAAGAGATTACATACCCCTCTCCACCAATTCTTGTTATCTTTAGACGAAAATCAACTGAGTTCAGGCTGGGTGGCTTCCATTTCAAAATATCATCACATCGACCAGGCTTGTATTTCTGAAGTAAATTAAAATGCAGTTTAATTATGCTTATTGGTTTTCACTGGTTTTAAAAGTAACAATTCAGCCTTTCAGACTCTATTAGCTGTCTCTAATGAATAACAATAGTTAGTGACTGAAACAACGAATACCATTACCATGGAGGTAGTTTGCTTCACTACTTTGCTTCTCCCTTTTAAAACTGCTTAACACTGTAGCTCTGCCATTGCATATAATAAAAAGCTGAGAATGGTAATAAAAATTAGCATACTTCATTATCTCTCTCTGGCTAATGGAAAATTTCAGGAAAGAAAATAAGACAGCACAGAAAGAGACAAAAACACTCATAGGACATACGGGAAAGACAAATTTAAAGTTATCTCCACATTTTGGAACTATTTTATGAACAATATTTTTGTTATCCATGCTGTTGGCTGACAAAACATGAAAAAGGCAAAAGCCACCATACTGCCAGATCTCCAAAAGACTCATCAGAAACATGTTCTTTCATAGCAAAGGAATTTAAGTTATGTGAAGATTAAAGAACATCATTATATATCAGAACATAAAAAATAGAGCATCTCTTGCTAAAGAGGGTATGCATTTGAAACACAAGTTGAAAGGCACAATTTTCTCTTTAATTTGAACTTTAGTTTCTCATGGTCTCTGCTATTATTTGCTTTCATTTACTAAGCTGCCATTTTGTTCATCCTCACCTACCAGTGAGAGTTAACTTGTTGACCCCATCCTTATCAAATATCTTTCATAGCAATGGAGAAAATATGAGTTAACATGAATAGGGCAAAAGTAAAAGAATTATTTACAGATGCATAGAATGAGAAAAAAATACTTCTTTATTTATATACAGTGAGAAAATTTAAGCAATTTTATATGAAAAATAGAATTAATCAAGAATGTCCACTGTCTTTTGGTAACAGAACAGTCATCAGCATCATACTGCATTCCTGCTTTGTAAAATATTTTCAAAATACAGACTTTACTGATGATAAACCGAACAGTTCTAAATCTAAAACGACAAAAGGAAATGAATTTTCTGTTTGCTGATGGAAGAATGTAAAGTTACTCCTTCCAAAACAAATGCAGAGTATCTTACCTACCATTTCTTGATGAAAAGCTGGTCATTAATTCTTAAGGATGCAAAAAGGATGGACCAACCTCTCTAAATCACAGCAATGAAATTCTGAGGAAAAGCTACATCTCATCTATATAAAAACCTTCCTCACCAGAGCTCTTATATCCTGACTCTGACAACAGCCAACAGCACGTGCTCGGGGAAGATGGAAAGCAAGGCTATTTTATATTATATTTTTTATTACTACTCCTTGAGAAACTATCCATTTTGAAGCTCAGAGACTTCCTGATGTGGATATAATTTAAATGTGATTCTTACATATTTAGTTATTTTCAGTTTCTCTGCATGAACTTAAAGAACCCCCCAGTAAGATCATGTAAACCCCCATCAGCTGTAAAAGCCCATGGCACAATCTTTCATGCACAGCCTGATTACCTTGCAGGAATAAAACCACTACCTTTTGTGTTTTTTGAACAAGTTTTTGTTGTTTTTGAAGATTTGAACTTCCCAGGGATCATAGCAGAAGAGATGCTTAACAATCAAACCCCACTGTTTCCCTGCACATCATAATTTCATCTGCCTCCATATGCACAGAAATGCACTCAGCCCAGAGGCGATCATTTTATATGTACTGCTACAATTTTTTTTCCACTTACATTACTCTACATTCATCTACATAAAAGTTTATGCACTCTTTTGTCACTCAGCCACCCAGTCTTGCAAGAGCTTACTATAATTCTCCACATTTAGGACCAGCCTTGGCTGATCCATCAAGAAAACATCACTGAATGGTTCATCCAATTTTCAAACTTGCTTACATGCAGTACAGGTGCCTCCCTTTCCTGGTGAGGACTGAACAGTACCCTGTCCCCTCACTCCTTTATAACCAATTAGGTATCTCTGCAAGAACATTTTAAGTCTTACATTACTTTAGTTTCTTCAAGAAAATTTTGACAATAGGCTTTCTGGAAATCTTAACCAGAAAAACCACATGATCCTTACTTAATTGCATTTTGAACCCTTTGTTGGAGGGGCATAACCTTCTTTTCAAAAAGGTATGTAATTTTCACTAACTATATAAATTATGTTCACCCAGATACCAACTGCTATATTCCTTATTGTTTCTATTCCTTTGTCCACGATACCAAACTTACAGGACTTATTTCTTCCCTGATCTTCCACAATACCTGTCCTCACCCCTGGTTTTCTTTTTAACTGGTATTGTATTTTCTACCTTACATGCTTAGGTACTAATGTAGATTTTTCACATAGGATCTACTATCCAATTTTTCAAGCTCTTTTTCCTAGACTGACAAGTTACATCCTCCTAAAAGTTAGTAAGAAACCAACTTCACAAGAGACAGGAACAATTACTCCAAGATCAGTAATAAAAAGCAATGTTTTGACACAATCTATCTGCATACCTGTAATTACACTGTGTGATCCACAATTTTGACTGAAGTTTAAAATTAACTGGCTGGCTTACTTGAAGGAAATGGGGGAGGATTTGCTCATTAAGATGGAGATATTTTCTTTACCTTGAGAACCAGCACAGTGTGAGACAAGACTCAAATAAACATTTTATACTATTAATATAAAAATAATCTCTAGCACACCTTAAGTTAGTCAAAGATATCTCACTTAGAAAGCAATAACAATAAATATATCCTTTTATATACTTTTGACTATTACATTTAGTTTTGACCACTGTCAAACAACAGTCTTCTCACTTCTCAGCAATTTGTTGATACCAAACACCTGGTAAAGGTAACAGGTAAATTACAGCTATCTTTCGAAGTTAAAAAACCTTAGATAAGTCATCAGAATTCAATTTATACAGCTCCTCCCTGGCCTCCCCCAGCTTCTGTTACTATGAAAGACAGAAATTCACAGAAGTCTTGCTCAAAAGGAGAATTCATTCAAAGGCCATATTAATAATCCCTAAGAAAGAGATTAATTTTTAACAGGTGAGTCCACATACATAAGACAGCACTAGTAAGTTATTGAGTTTGAATACTAAGTGCTAAATCAAATTCTTTAAATATAAGCTGAAGCCAAACAAGAATTTTGCTTGTTAAATATATGGAAACTTCACCTTAGATGAATCACTGCATACTGCAGACCTGTTCTGCGTGAAGTTACTCTTTATTTTAATTCCAAACCAAAATGTGAAGCAATCTGTTTGAGATCGAACTACACCCTAGCATTTTAAATATAGCATTCATAGCAATGATATCCTCATCACCACTCCCCAACAAATATCTGTGTACACGACTACTTCTAAAACACATCAGATCCCCTGTCATCTCAAATACAAGCTCATGCTTCAATCTGAAACCTGTCAACCTAGTCTAAGCACAAAAATTAGAACTCCAAAAAGGTACATTGACAAATCAGAAACTATCTCAAATAGCTTTAAAGGACTGGACTAGGTGGCCTCCTGAAGTCCCTTCCAATCTAAATTATTCTGCAAAATTGTGTCTCTCGTCGCTTGCTTGTTCTTTTAGCAGCCATATTGGATGCATTTTAGTTTCCAAAACCAACGAACATTCACAATAAATACCCTGGTTGATCCAGTTTACTATATTTTAATTGCGATAGCTCAGCAGCTCTCCTGCATGCAAACTGGATTCCAACAATGTAACACCAAATTGGAAGTTTCCCTTCAGGGACACATCTAATGCTCTTCATGCCAAGTACAGACACCAGAGGCCAAGGCAAAGCTAGTCCATTGCATTGCTACCTTGCACCTATGGAAGACAAGCAAACCTGAGCTGTAAAGGTACCCTGCAGGATCCTGAACTGCTGCTTCAAAGAAATAATGGTATCAGTGCCTTCAGTTAGCTATGAACCCTGAGCTCTCCAATTTTTACAGTTTTTTTAACATATTTTTTACATCCACTCACCATGTACCCAACATTTCTTCTATCTTTTCAGTAGTAGTAGTAGTCTTTGTATAAATGCCCTATCTTCTCTGGCCATTCTCTACTGGCAAAACCTCGTGCCCTTCTTGCTTTCATGAAGAGGATGAAGATCAGCGACAACAGATGTGTGAGAAGCAACATCACAAATGTGACCCTACTATGGCAATCTTGAACTTCAGGCAAGAATATAATAATGACCCCTAAAACTCAGGTGCACATCCAACACCCTGGGACGAAGAATCATCACTGAAGACAGCTCAACAGAAAGCCCATCCTACGGCATCCCTCCTAGGCTGCTAAATCCATTGATTTCTCACCTCAAACACAATTCCAAAGGCTCAAGTGGGTCTAGTCAAACCACTATGAGGGTTTTGTTAGACCCTTGTTAGAACCATTTTAGCACTGCAGGGTACAGTTATGGGTTGCTGGTTATGTTGAGTCTCAATCCCCTGTCCTGGCCCAGAGTACTAAGTCTAGTTCCCTGCTTCCTCCACAGATGCCCAAAGAGCGGTCCACTCTTTTCTCATCTCCCATCAGATCAAGAGAAAGGCTTGCCCTGAAAGCCTCAGGTTCTGTTAGTTTAACTTTTGCTGACACATTTCTTGTCAGCTGCAGATAGCCTCACACACAGGTTTGGGATTTGCCTAAAGGCATGCGTCAACATTTGCATTCAGTGGATGGCACAGCTGAAAGCTGAAAGGCTAGACAATGGAGATATCAGAGGCCCATAAGGAGGATGAAGTTTAACTCCAAATAGCTGCTTCCACATGGGATAGATGTTTCTGCTTAGTATTTTGTAGAAGGAAGAGCGGGGTTAGTTTCTGGGACTGCATTCTGGGCAGGCAGTCTGGGGTGTGGGGTGGTGTTGACTCACCATGAAGACACCCACCTGGAAGGCTGAGTGACTTCAGCCTAAAGTCTAGACAAAACAAACAGTTTCTCCTAGCGACTGAAAAGGAAGAGGTGGTGGGATGATCAAGAGTGAAGTTCGTGTCTTATCAA